TCTCCCTCTCCCTTCCTCTCTGAAACCAGTAAAAATATATTTTTTTAAAAGTCCTCAGGCCTGTCCATACTCTCCTGTAATATCTGTGTGTTCTAGCTTTTCAAAGAATGGAGCTACTGATAGAAGGATCAGTAATTTAATATTTTGCAATTTTTATCTTTTTATTAAAACTGTCCTGTTTCCAGTGTGTCTGAAATTGCAGTCTACCTCCAATTCATTTTTAGAAGTACAAGTTATAAAGCATAAATTAAAGAGCAGCCACACTAATCAAGACAGTGTGATATTGTGAAAGAATAGACAAACAGATCAATGGAACAGATCAGCCAGACCAAAATAGGCCCCCACAAATGCAGTCCGCTGATCCTTCGACAAAGGAGCCAAGGCAATTCAATGAAGAAAGTGTAGTCTTTTCAAGAAATAGTGCTGGAACCACTGGACACCCACATACGAAAAATGAATCAAGAAAATGCCCTTTCATATTTCACAAATATTAACTCAAAATGGATCTTACATCTTAAATGTAAAAGGCAAAACAGATTATGGTGGCAGGGGACCAAGTCAACCTTGACGTGCATCCTAGTGGAGGGATGTAGGCCCCTACACAACAGTGAGTCAGGAACCAGATACAGAACCAGGAGCACAGGTGAAACTTTAAAAGACAGCACTGTGTGAAAATTTCAGAAACAGAATAAGATCTACAGCACAACCCTGTGCTCTTATTTGTTTATGTAACTTGAGACTGACTCAGGGGAGGCAAAGGTGTGGGGAATGAGGATAAAGGGAATCTACACTAATAAAAGAGAAACATGGTAATTAGCGTACGACCGCTACCCTTTTCATTGGCTAATCAGTGAGTTAATGCTTATAAAGCATAAATTAAAGAGCAGCCACACTAATCAAGACAGTGTGATATTGTGAAAGAATAGACAAACAGATCAATGGAACAGATCAGCCAGACCAAAATAGGCCCCCACAAATGCAGTCAGCTGATCCTTCGACAAAGGAGCCAAGGCAATTCAATGAAGAAAGTGTAGTCTTTTCAAGAAATAGTGCTGGAACCACTGGACACCCACATACGAAAAATGAATCAAGAAAATGCCCTTTCATCTTTCACAAATATTAACTCAAAATGGATCTTACATCTTAAATGTAAAAGGCAAAACAGATTATGGTGGCAGGGGACCAAGTCAACCTTGACGTGCATCCTAGTGGAGGGATGTAGGCCCCTACACAACAGTGAGTCAGGAACCAGATACAGAACCAGGAGCACAGGTGAAACTTTAAAAGACAGCACTGTGTGAAAATTTCAGAAACAGAATAAGATCTACAGCACAACCCTGTGCTCTTATTTGTTTATGTAACTTGAGACTGACTCAGGGGAGGCAAAGGTGTGGGGAACGAGGATAAAGGGAATCCTATATTATAAAACCCTAATATGCTAAGTGTCCAGTCATCCGGTCAGCTATTCAACCAATCAAAGCATAATATGTTAATGATATGCTGAGGCCACTCAACCGCTCGCTATGATGTGCACTAACCACCAGGGGGCAGATAGTCAACCAGTTACTACGACGTGCCCTGACCACGAGGGGGAAGACTCTCTGAACTGTAGGTTGGCTTGCTGCTGGGGTCCACCCGATCAGGACTGAGCAAGACTGGTCGGACACGCCCTGGAGCCCTCCTGTGGTCCCTCCCCAGCTGGCCAACCTCCCGCATCCCTCCCCGGCCCTGATTGTGCACCAGTGGGGTCCCTCAGCCTGGACTGCACCCTCTCACAATCTGGGACCCCTCAGGAGACGTCGGAGAGCCGGTTTCAGCCCGATCCCACTCAACACAAGAGCTGCCCCCTGGTGGTCAGTGCACTCCCACAGGGAGAGCACCACTCAGCCAGAAGCCAGGCTCATGGCTGGCAAGTGCAGCGGTAGTGGTGGGAGCCTCTCCCACCTCCACAGCAGCACTAAGGATGTCCAACTGCTGGCTTAGGCCCATGGGAAGTGGGCCTAAGCCATCAGTCAGACATCCCCCAATGGCTCCCAGACTGCGAGAGGGCACAGGCCAGGCTGAGAGACCCCTCCCCCCAAGTGCATGTATTTCGTGCACCGGGCCTCTAGTAAGTAAATACAGACATCTGTAAATAAGCAGACACAAAAGCCAAAGATGGGACTCACAAAAATGAAAATGTGCTTTGACATGAGAATTACGATTAAACAACCCTTTCCACTTGAAATCCTCCCCAAAAACCTAAGAAAAATAAATAAGTAAAAAGCAGGGAAGCAAATCAACTGTGGCAATCTCTCTGCGGCAAGTGCCAAGAGCACGTGTCTTTGGGGCTCTGTGCCTCACCGAGCCCTTTCCAATCCACACAAATTTAGCTGCCTTCAGAGGGGGTGGAAGAGGTCTAAGAAAGATGTTTGAAACACTCATCCCCGCCTGTCAATCACTCAAAGCTACATCTCCAGTGACTCACAGCTGCATCACTCTCCCTGCCAGTTAGAAGTCACTTGTTCCCAGAGACCTGTCAGAGCTCAACAACAAAAACACTTGGGGAAACAAACATAATTCAAGATATTGATACTTCTTTCACCTGGCATCCTAGAGAAATGAGGACTCACTCTCCTGCCAATAAAGGGTAACATAAAAAGAAAATAGTCACTTCAGATGCTAACCTGTTTTGTTAATCATTTTGCACAGAAATCTTTATAAAAATGTAGCACCTATTTGCCTGACTTCTTTAACCGATAGTATGGAGGGGGGGACGGGAAGGTAATAACCTTTTTGTTCCGTGACTTGGGAATCTCATCATTTTTAATATCCATTATTTTACCTCCTGTTTTGATGTTTTGTTACTTCTATGTCCAGCTGCCACTTCCGCTGTGATCGTAGATGCTTCTAAAAATAATCCAGCTCTGTCCCTTCCCACCCTGTGGTTTCTATCGGGGCTGGGAAAACAGACAACCAGTGATGTTAAGGACTGGTTGCTTAATAAGAATGATAAGGCTTGGAGTGAAAGACTAAACAGCAAAGTGCAGGGCTTTAAATCAGAGTCTTTTGATAGCTAATTCGGTTAGATGCCCAGGGGCATTTTCCTCCTGTATTGTACAGGCTGCATCTCAGAGCGGGAGGCTCTCCACATTGGTGCCCAGGCAGAGACACACAGGCTGGGCCCAGAACCCCGATTCTCTGCCATGCAGTGGATGAAGCCATAATTAAATGTGTCTCTGCAAATATGCACCCTGGAATTTGGGGTCAGGGTGAGGATACTGCTTTTGTTTTAGGTTCTGCTGTTGGAATTTTTAATTAGCTCATCAAGCAGGAATAATCAGAGTAACCTATAGTTCCCTAAATATATTATGCTGATTCATGCTTCCCATTTGAAACCAGCTCTTCCCCCATCATAGCACTATCCTGAGATCTTTCCAACTAAAAAATAAATTGCTTAAGTCTTGCTTTCTATTGATTGGCATACAGAACGTCCCCAGTGAATGTTCAAATAAACTCATGAATGAATGAATATATCTGGGACTGAGTGGGATTGTTTTTAAAAGGTAAACACATGTAGTTACTGATACACTGTCATAGTTGAATTATATTCATCATATCGTTGTTCTGATACAAGTTGATCTGAACCTTCTTTTAAAAGTCACTCAACGCATCTCATCAAAAAAGATACAGATGGCAAATGTGCATATGAAAAGATACTCAAAATCATTACTCACCAGAGAAATGCAAATTAAACCCACAATCAGATACTACTCCATACCTATTAGAATGGCTATCATTAAAGAAAGCAACTGACAACAAAAAATTCTGGCAGATGAAAGTAACAAAAACTCTCATACACTGTTAGTGGGAATGTAAAATAAGACAACCACTTTGATAAAGAGTTTGGTAGTTATCAAAAGATAAACATAGAGTGGCAAACCAGTACAATCAAATCCTGACATTTTTGAACAAACAGTGATGCTGGAGCACCAGTTTCTAATCAAACACGCACACACAGAAAACCTACGTGCTATGGGTTTTGGTAGGAATGCTCCAGGAATGGCCTCGTCTTCGAAATCATGGGCTACAGAGACTGCAACAGAATTGCTTCCCAGTAACTAAGGCCTAGAGAGCAAGCTTCCGATAGAGTCAAGCTTGCCCCTTCTAACATCAACCTTAGTTATTCGTAGGATTCCACACAGATTTCTTTAAATGGACATTCTTATCTAATGATGTTATCTAGCCACCATTGAAGCTGAGAGAAGGGGGACTGCTCTATAAGGAAAGCCAAATAAATGTCTGGGTAAATTTGAAAAGAAAAAGTTAAACATACACTTAGCACATGTCCCAGAAATCCCAGTCCTAAAATTTGGAAAACAAAACAAAACATGTCTATAAAAAACTCAAACGTGAATGTTTATAGAAGATTTACTTAGAACCACCAAAATCTGAAAATAATAAAATATCCCATTAACTGATAAAGAAACAAGTGGTGGTACATCCACACAATGAAATACTATTCCGCAATAAATAAAAAAGAACTACTGGAATATGCAAAAGCATGGATGAAACTCAGAAGCATTAGGCAAAGCTGAAGAGGCCAGACTCAAAAGGCTATGTACTGTATGATTGCATTTACACTATGACAATCTTCAAAAGGCAAAATTATAGGGAAAGAAAACAGATCAGTGGTTGCCAGGTTGTGGGGTAGAAAAAGGGGATGGTTACAAAGGGGCACAAGGGAACTTTTTGGAGTTGAAATGAAAATGTTCTATGTCTTGATTGCAGTGAAGTAGTTACATGACTATATACGTTTGTCAAAACTCAGAGCGAATTTTACTATGTGCAAATTATACTCAAAAAAACCTGACTTTAAGAAAAGTCAAGCCATGTATTATTAAACATGAAAATAAATAAATGTTCAAAGTTAAGTGTCAGCCTGGGTTCCTTAGAAAAAAAAGCCTAATCAGAATGTATGCCCCAGTGCTTCCTTGCCACCCAGGGAGGCCCGGGTGAGGGGAGAATCGCAGTGAATAGTGGAAAGAGGAGAGGAACTACACGGTGTGTGTCACTGATTCTGAAGCGGTCATTGCTTCAGGGGGACACACCCTGGTTGCTGTTCACGTGGGACCTCTCCAGAGGCCATATGAAACCCACTGCATGTCGGAACAGTCCATGGGGAGGAGGAAAAGCAGCAATCTATCTCAGATTCTGGTGTCAGACCAATGTGGACTGGATTCCAGGTCTGTCACTTACTACACATTATTAGTCAGGTGTCTTAGCCTCCACAAGTCTTGGTTTCTTCATCTGTAACTGTTAATGGTGAATCACACCAGATGTTACCAGGGAAGTTAAACCTCAGTCCTTGAGTTTGGCTAAGAAAGAATTCAGAGCCAAGAACCCAAATACAAGCAAAAGTTAATTTAGAAAGTCACCGAAGTAGAAGCAAGCTATGGAAGAAGTGAGCCAGCTGAGCTGCATGCCCTCAGGAAATAAGTTACGGAGGCAAAAGAAGGGCCCTGGGAGCTGAGGAGAAAGAAAGGCAAAGCAAACACGCCTGGGGGAGAAGGGGGAAAGGTGCAGGTGTGCTCCAGAGAGAGCACACCAGGGGAAGAAAGGGGTGGGGAAGGGCACAGACATGAGAGAGAGAGAGAGAGAGAGAGAGAGAGAGAGAGAGAGAATATGCACTGGGTCCTTCATCTTAAGGGGTGCATGACCAGCGATATGCTAGGGAGCACTGGGTCCTTCATCTTAAGGGGTGCATGACCAGCGATATGCTAGGGAAGAAAAGGTCACTCTAGGGGCAAGGTCCCACCCTACAATACTTGTTTTCCCAGTTTTGCCCATTGCTAGGCACCAGGTTTTCCGCCCTGCACTCTGCTCATGTCTGTCTAACTGCCTACTCTAACATAACATGTGATAAAAATGACTTAATCCTCAGAGTTGTTATGAAGATTAAATGAGAAAATGCATGTAAAGTACTTAGCACAGTTCTTGACTCATAGTTAAGTACCTAATGTATAGGAGCTGCCATTATTATTATTATTCCTCTAAATTGTTTGCATATTGAAAGAAACAACAAGAAATAGTAAATGGCTGGTGTGTGAATGAGGTACTTGAAATTGTTAGGGAGCAGGGCCTCCAAGAGCCAGCTGGTAACAGGAAGGTCCACAGAGTGGGAAGAACTAGAAAAATCCTACAGGCACAGCCCTCATGGGAAAAGAGAAGGGTAAATGGAAACTGACAGGAGGTTAGCAATTCGATAATTAATTCATGTTTAAGAGGAGAGAGAGCATTAATGTGGGTAACCTGGCTTTCTTGCATGCCTGAGCAGCACCTAGAGCACATCAATGCAGAGAAGAGACAGTCCAAACCAGCACGTGTTTCCACTCCTGTGCTGCCCAATCGTCCTCATTCTCTATCAACAGCTATACCTGAGCCTCCGGTAAAGCAAACCTCAGTTGACAAGTCGTGTGATAAAAGCCACACGTTGGAAGGGGACTCAGAAATTTTATGGACTGGTGCTTTTCAAGTTTGAAGCCACAAAACCGTTTCTTAAAAGAAAAATATAAACAGAAAAGTAAAGACTTTTTGCACCTATTTCAGCCCCAGCACAGATGGGGTCCCAGAGCCCAGCAAGTTTAAGTCTACACCTGCCCACCCTCCAAGACCCAACTGTGGCTCTGGAAGCATAGTCTGAAAGCCACTGATATTGTCCTGCCCCTCGATTTTAGAGACGTGTTGACTGGAGGTCAGAAAGGTGAGGAGACCTCCACAAAGGTGAACACAGAAGAGGCCAAAAGCTGGAATTAGAATCCAACCAGTTTTCTGATGGCCAGTTGGGATATCTCTATTGCACTGAGTGCTGCCTTCTTGACTGACATACCAAGAAGATGAGAAAGAACCATGTTTGGGAAGAATGCCCTCCATCATGGGGAAAGCATATAACTGGAAGGCCGGTGAGCAGTGAAGTCTGGCCTGACAGCTTGGGCTCCGCTAATCTGCATATGAACAAACCATCGCCCCCATCCATGGCAGACTAGAGTTACCAAAACAGTTTTTTGAACATTAAAACAAATTAAGCCAAAGAATTCGCAGTGAATGCCTAATAGATTTGCATATGCAACGATTTTGCATATGCACGCGCACAATTACACTTTGGAGGAAGTTTAAGCCACATTAATGGGACTGTGGGGGAATGTAAAAAAAGGAATGAATAGCCAACAAAATTAACTACAGTGACTAATGGATGAATTATACTCTTATGATGCTGGGCATGATTTAGTGTTTGTTCACAGAACTCCAGCTTAGATCATCTGGTTGTACTTTAAAGTGTCTGTATTTTAAAATCAAAGGTTAAGTGCTTCCTTCTTAGCCTTGTATGTTGTGGAGTTCAGAGTTCACATCAACACGGGTAAATTATTTCCCAAAGTACCACCACGTCCCCCTGTTTGGGACACCACTGATGTAGAAAGAGCCATCAAAATTCACCGCCTGCATGGGCCTCAGAGGTCCTGCTTCTCAGGCAGCTCACTGGGCTCAGGCCGGACAACACAGAGGCCTGGGAGGAATCCTGTGACCCCCTCCCAGCCTGAGAGACCCCATTATTCCATGGAGCATGTTCACCTTTTCATTCCATAAGAGGAGGACTTATAGTATCTGGACAGAAGCTGTTTGGTAGCTTGACACAGATTACTTCCTGGCCTTATCCACACCACATTCCTTAAGAACATCTCACCTCCTCCAGCTTAAAAACCGCTCCTACGTATGGCTGGATGCGCCCTTCCTGGCAGTACTGGAGAGCCGAGGACAGGCTCCTGGAGAAGACGGGGAAGTTCCGGTCTTGGTATCGGCCCCAGTACACGCCCATGGCAGAGATATTCTTCAGGAGCAGGAGATTGGCCGGCACGGAAGCAATGGTTCCTCCAGCAAAACCCACCACCACGATCCTGCCCTCCCATGCCAGACTGAGGAAAAAAGGAGAAGGAAAAAAAATTAAAACAATGTACACTCACATCCATTAGGATAGCAACTATTTAAAAAGAATAGAAGAGAAAAGAAAAGACGTGTTGGCAAGGATGTAGAGAAACTGGAACCCTCAGGCACTGTTGGTAGAACTGCAAAATGGTGCAACTGCTATGGAAAACAGGATGGAGTTCCCTCAAAAAACTTAAAAACAGAATTTCCATATGATCCAACTATCCCACTTTCTGGTTAACTTCAAACTGCTATGGAAAACAGGATGGAGTTCCCTCAAAAAAACTTAAAAATAGAATTTCCATATGATCCAACTATCCCACTTTCTGGTCTAACTTCAAAAGAACTGAAAGCAGGTTCTCAAAGAGATATTTGCTCACCCTGTTCATAGCAGCACTGTCTGTAATAACCAAGAGGTATGAGCAACCCAAATGTCCATCAACTGATGAATGGATTAACAAAATGTGTATATACTTGACAATGGAGTATTATTCAGCCTTAAAAAGGAAGGACTTTGTCACATGCTATGACATGGATGAACCTTAAGTCAATGGAGTATTATTCAGCCTTAAAAAGGAAGGACTTTCTGTCACATGCTATGACATGGATGAACCTTAAGGACATTATGCTAAGTGAAACAAGCCAGTTACAAAAAGACAAATACTGTACGATTCTACTTATTACAGGTGTCTAAAGTAGTCAAATTCATAGACACAGAAAGGAGAATGGTGGTTGCCAAGGGCTGCGGGGAGGGAGGAATGGGAAGCTGTTGTTTAATGGGTACAGAATTTCAGATCTGCAAGATGGAAAAGTCCCAGAGGTCTATTTCACAACAATGTGAATCTACTTAACACTACTGAACTGCACGCTTAACATGGTCAATAGAGCAAATTTATGTCACGTAAATTTTTACCACAGTAAAAAACGTAGAATAAAAAACAATGTACATAAATTCATACAGACAAAAAGTAAAACAGAGGTTCCCATGGGCTTGGAAGGTGGGAAAGAGGCAGTTATTGTTTAATGGACACAGAGATTTTGTTGGGGAAGGTTACACAATGTTGTGAGCATATTCAATGCCACCGGATTGTACACCTACAAATGGTTAAAATGAAATACTAGGTTATATATATTTTACCACAATTTAAAAAAAAAAAAGAAACATGTATTAAACCTCCAGCTAGAAATTCCTCTTGACCTAACAAACTGGCAGGGGTGTGACCCATCTTGTATCACATTGGATTCTTCCGTAGGGAACTATAAATATAAGCCATAAGTGAGACAGGAGGGGGCCAGAGGAAGTAGCCAGTTTTCTAAGCAGGCCCACTTTAGAATCAAGACTGTCTGTTTAACTATGCCACTACTTTGTGGAAGGAAACTTGGTGTAAACAAATGTCATTCCGTATGCTGTACTCGGAGACAACTCAGTTTGAAGCCCTTGAACTTAGGAAGCAGGAATAAGGAGCCAGACACTTTAATGAAGCATCATTTGCTTTCCACAAAGACTTACCTTAGGACTCCTTTAAGTTATGTGCTTCTCTGGAGGGTTTTGAACAATCAACAAAAATTCAAGCAGCAAGCTTCCTGCAGCTCGTTCTGAGAAGTACCATACAGAGCATGCTAAGCAGTGAGTTATAAAAATAAAGTTTGTAAACATCTTTGATATGAAATATGTGCATGTTGATTTGGTGATTTGCTTTTCTTCTTTAGAAGGGAAATGAGAAGCTGTTGTCAAAACACTATTATCCCGAAGGCAAGCGAAGGGCGACTGCTAGCGGCTCTCTGGCCGGGCTCTCCGTTTAGTCAACACACTCCCTCCTTTGCTGCTTCTCCAAGCACCATCCTGGACACACTGCAGGGATGCTTGGGGGCTAGAGCACCAACTGGGTCCCCTCTATGGGCAAGCTGCTCTCTTTGCTTCTACTTCTACTTTAAACTGAGATAAACCACAAAACTGTGCTTGCCAGGATGACAGGAGAAATGAAACCCATGTTACAAAGCACTCCAGAGTCCTGGTTGAAAACAGAATGAGAATTGGTGTGGAGACAACCAATTCTCCAGTGATTTTTTAAAAAAATAAAACAAATCAAAGGGATACCTAGCCTGCTGGCTACTTCAAAATCCAGCAAGATCAAAAGAGTGTGCGCATTTAACATCTGAACAATGATCTCCTCAAGAATTACCCGCACCGTGGACATAAAGTGGTTAGTGGGGGCCGGCACAGCTGAATTGAACACATGTATAATTTCTAAAGCATTTGATGTTGCCAACTAGAGAGTCTGCACTCGTTTCTTGGATATTTTCCAGTGGGATATTTTGTTGTTGCTATATTTAAGCATTTCCTGATTTTCCCCTCCACTTCTAGTTCTTTCCACGCCCCCACTCAGCTGTTCTCATTGGTGCCAGTGCCTGCAGGAGAAGTCAGCAGCGAAGACGGAAGAGAAGCAAGGCCAGGTGGTGGTGGAGTCCGGAAAGGTCCCTCAGAGCCCCAGGTCGAACCCACTCTGGAAAGACCCCTCCACGCACCTGCGGAGAGCGTCCAGGAAGATGTCTCCCCCCACGGTGTCGATGACCACGTTCACCCCGCCACTGCCCACCAGCTTCCTCACTGCCTCCTTCAGGCTGCCCTGACTGTAGTTCACGCTGGACTGTGCGCCCCTCTGCATGGCCAGCTGGCACTTCTCGTCACTTCCGGCGGCAGCTATTACCTGCATAAAGGACACAAAGCTGCTGAGTTTCAGAATATGTACCAAGAGGGGCTCATGCCATCCAATCAACCTGCCACCAAAGGGTGCTAATCAAGGAAACCCATGGGACCTTGCTGACCTAGCATCAGCCTCAATCCAACGCATCAGCCCCAGCACACAGCACCATCGCACTGGACCCTCCATGCCCCACCATGGGACCCACACTTCCAGGAATCCTGGACCCCCCGTGGGTCTAGCCAGGAGATGTTCAGGAGACAATCGGTAAGTTCCTCCAAATGCAAATTAAAACCACCATTTACTAAGCATCTCCTATGAGGCAAGTAGTAAGGACACAAACTAAATACCAAGCTACAGCAAATGAGAAAGGCTTTTCAGACAGTAAAACAAAATTTAATGGGAAGATCTGGACAGATACTAATCAGCTTCATTACCTACGGCAAATTACTTAGTAAGAACTAACACTTACATAGTACTTACTATGTGCCAGGCACTATTCTTAATTAGAGAGAGAGAGTTATATAGAGTATAACTCAATATATTAATAGCCCAGTGATATACACACTACTATTATCCCCATTTTAGAGATAAAGAAACTGAGGCAAAAGAACTTAAGTCACTTGCCCAAAGTCACCCAGCTAATGGGAGGCAGAACTGGAAACCAAGCCCAGGTAATCCTTCTCCAAAGTTCAGGCTTTAACTTCTCTCTATACTGCCTGCCTACTTCTCTAAGCATCAGTTACCTCATTCACATATTCATCTTTATTTTAAGAATTCAGTGGAATACTACTGTACGTAAAGCACTTGCAAAACTTGGATAAATTGAATCTATTGTTACACATAGGCAATCACTTATTCTATTTAAACCTCATAAGAGTATCACGAGGAGGTATAAATACTTCCATTCTATTAGATAGAGACGTAAAACCAGAGAAGTTATTAACTCAGGATCTTCCAGGTAGTAGGTGGTAAAAAAAAACGTATTCAAACCCATTGCTGCCTGACTCCAAAGCCCATGCTTTTCCACTCCATCATGCCTAAGGCGTGACAAAGATGGCACCAATGGCTGCGGGGCATACCGTGAGGAGGTCTAGGGTTTGGAAGTCTCCAGAAAAGTTTCAAACACTCAGGCATTGCCTGGAGGTGCCTTATCACTGGGCAGCACCCACCAGCGCACTTGGGCCCCAAGGTGACTTTCAAAAACATCAGTGGCCTTAAAAGACTCCAAACTCACCCATAACAATGTGAAAGGAAAGCTTCCCTCAAATAGGAGCAGGTCAGGGAGGGCTGTCAGCACACAGTGCCACAGTGGGCAACACCTGACCAGGTCAGGCACCTGGTTCCAATCCCAGGATTCTCACTAGGTCCTGGGGAGACCTGCCGTGAATCAATCTCCCTCTTGGTGCCTCACTTTCTTTATCTGTGAAATAGGGATAATAAACACTTTACATCGCCCATCGCCCAGAGGTGTTGTGAGGATCAAGGGTTAGAGAACAGTGGTGGAGGCACTGTGAAAGCCATATGAAATGCTGTGAATGGAAGATGTTATCAAAAGGACCTGTTCCAAGTAGAGAGCATGATGACATTATATTTATTTTTGTTTGCTTTTGCCTAAAACCATTATTGCTGCTTAGATCAATATCTGAATTGAAGTAAACCTCTCTACTAACCTCCTGTCACTACTCAAAACAAATGGTACCATTTCATCCGTACGTGTTAAATAGTCACAGGTTCTAGACAATTAGACTAAGTGTGGTTTCCCTGCTAAGAGAGGTGCTAAAAGCCCTTGTTTTTGACATGAAATGTGTTAATATCCACAAGGAGCCTCCTGGTATCTAAGATTGCTTTCAGAACTCACATGTCCTTCCCAAAGGAATTTCATGTGAGAAGGAGAGATGCCACCTGCCGAAATTCCAGACCAATCCAATTATCTCCAAGCCTGTAGATTCCTGGCACCTTCTGGATACTCCAATTGCATGCTCCATGGGAACTTCACACTCAACAACATCCAAAACTGAACCTGACATGTCCTCCTGTGCTCTCAATCCCAAGAAATGGCAAATCCACAAATTAACCTAGTTTGCTCCTTCCCATTCAATGTCTAATAATAACAGGATCCCTTTTCAAGAGAGTCTTACTGACATGCCATCACCTCTAACAGGCACAATGCATGTGTAATTTCAATATCCCCACAACAACCCTACAAGGGAAGCATTACCAATGAGGAAACTGAAGTAATTACGCTACAGGCAGAGCTAGAATTTGAACCTAGGTGAAGCTAACTTCTAAGTCCTTGTGCCTTCAACTATATTAGAATGCTCTCCAGGGACCAAATTTTCAATTTTCTTCCAATTTAGTACATCTCGATTCATCACCTCCACTGCCCTGGTTCAAGTAGCATCACCTCAGGCTGGGATTGCTCCAAGAGTCTGCCCTACCACCTACGAACCACCCCTGACCTTACCCCATCCCTCATTCCCACTGCTACCACAGTGAACTCTGGAAATTCGAAGATGATCATGTCACTTCTCTACTTAACACCCTCATGTGCTTCCCATAACTGTTCAAATTCTCCAGCACCTCCTGATCTTATTCTGCCCACCTCTACAGAGTCATTTTCCACCATTCTCCAGATCCTCTGCCCCACAGATGCTGTTTGCAAGTCCCTGAATGCATCATGTTAGTTCCTCTTCCTCTGTCTTCTAATAGGTCCTCCCACCACTAAAATGCCCTTCACTTCACTTCCTCATCTATTCAACTGCTACCAGTCCTTCAAAAACTCAGTTTCAATGTCCACCATCTTCAAAAATCCTTCCTTCTTTGATATCCACTTTCTTTCATTTGTTAAGTCATTCATTCAAAAAATAGTTACTGAGTGCCTACTGTGGTCTAGGCACCATGCCAGGCACTGGAACGACAATAATGAACCAGACACTGTCCCTGCCTTCATGAGGATTTCAGTCCAGTGGGAAAGATAAATTCATCTAATAATGACGCAAGTAAAAGATTAAGCATATACTGAGATGTACAAGGTGTGTACTATGAATGAGAAGTATAAGATGCCATGAGGCCATATACAAATAGTGAAGGGAGGGAATTAATATCTCCTGAGGGACAAAGGATACTTCCCTAAAAAGTAGCATCTGAGTTTGAAGTGTGAGGTGTGGGGGTGGGAGGGGAAGTTCAGAGCATCACAGCTGAAGCGAATTGGACCTTGCAGGTCCCAGTTACTGGAAGGGTCAGTGATGTACTCCTAGGACCCCTCACTCATCCACAGGCAAACAGGTGACAAGGCTCTGCTCTAGGTGACTTGCATCCCCAGTGCCTTGCATGTGGTTTTTGCTAAATCAATGAAAACCATATTTTGTGGTACAATTTGTTTAAGTGGAGACTCTACCACACAAATACCTTGGCCTGGAGAACATTTGTTGCCACGTCTATCACTGCAAGGCCTGTGGCTCCAGCTGCTGCCGTCACTAGAACAGTTTCTCTGTGCCAAGAGAGAGACGAACGCTACTTCAGAAACCAGAAAGCATCCGGCAATATGATCTCACGAACATTTTGAAACCAGGACATTTTAAAGCAACAAGAGAACTTTGAGACCATTTCATTCAACCCTTTATGTGCATGCCTTCTCCAGCCTTTAGGGCTGGGTGGTACTACTGTGGTCCAGTTTTCAAAACTTCCTGGGAGAAATATTCCTTAATATCTCTAGGTAGCCCCTTCCTTCGAGCAACCACTCAATTTCTGCTCCAGAAATTCTGTCCCAAATCATTCTCATACTAAACACTGCTGAATTTTAGGAGGTGGTGATCACATAATGGCCATGGGTCAACTAATCCCATCTCTCTGGGGCTCCCTGAAAAGAGCAGAAGGCAATAGGTAAACCCAGGTAAAGTGGGGGACTTCAGCACCTCTGAGTTTAAAATATCCCAGTTAAACCCACCCAACCAAGCCTCTCGGAAACAAATACCACAGGCCTCCACTAAAACCAGAGGGAAGAACGTTTAAATAAACCAACTCCCTAAACATGAAGGTTTTCTAGAAGGTGATATCCAGGGTGGTCAGGTCTGAGAGGGATATTTCTCCAAATTCATACTGGCCAAGTTCGCAATCTACCATTCCCTCTCAGAAAAAAAGGATTTTCCCACCATCACCAAACCCCAATCTCCAGTCACTACTTTCTTTGGCCTTTCCTTAAGCAGACTGAACGTGAGCTAAAGGTCAGGCACGGGAGAGGAAGGGGCAAGGCCTTGGGCACTTCTAATATCAGAGAAGGGTCCCAGCCAGCTCTCTGTTGTCTGCACAGTCCTTACCCAGGCTGGGTACATGCCCGATGCTCCAGGGCCATAATAGCAGTACCATAAGACACGGGCAGGACAGCAGCTTCCCGGAGCGGCACCCTGTCTGGAATCCGCCACAGTGCCTGTAAAAGAGATAACAGTGACTTAGTGATTCCATACGTACCTGTTCCTAAAGGCTGCTCAGTCAATACTATGATTTGATTAAGTGACTGATTTGCAAAGGGAAACACCTGTCAGGAACAAAGCCTAGTAGAAGTCAAAACCAAGCAACCTGTGGCCAAGTTCAAGACCTGGGTGCATCTGTTTTCAAAAATCCTAAAGTTGCACCTGCTCAGGAAGGAACCAACAAACTTATGGAGAATGCAACACTGACCACGCTACTATATAATGGGTGAACTGGATGTTAGGTATATTTTACCTCAATAAAACTGAGGGGGAAAATATGTCCTCTTCTCCACTAGCGGGCACCATTCACATCCTGCACAACCAGATCTGGCCAACCTGCCTGGCTCCATTCCCAGGGCCATCTCTTTCACAAGCTCCCGTGGGAAAGAAACCCATTACATCCGGCTTAACTACCTTAACTGTGGTCCAATTGAAAAGCCAGCCAGTTGCTTCCAGGGCTCAGAAAACAAAATGTTTCTTCATTAAACCACTCCATGCCGGGGTTCTTGTCCCAGCATCAAGAAGGGTTCAGGAATCTGGAGAAGGCTGTGCGTAGATTAATAAAGAGGAGTCCAGAGACGAAATATTATTTTGAAAGGCATTTGGGGGTCAGAGGAGCCTAGTTTAAAGGAAACTAGGATCTAAGATCTAAGGTCTTAGGTTCTCAGGTCTTAAAGTCTAAGGTCTCCTCGTCCCAGGACCCCATGCTTTTTATTAACACAATTTGTCCTGAGGTGAGGCAGAGATATACACTTCAAAGGGTCAGGGTTTCGTACAGAGTCCATTGACAGAATGGGGGAATTAGCCTATGGCTGTTCAGGTGTTTGGCCAGTAGGAGGCAATAACATGTAGATTAAGATGCCCTTTAGCTGTCTGGCAGCCACAATCAATTTAATGTATCCTATTCAGGTTTGGGGAAATGCCATCAGCCATTCCCAGATGCAGCCCTGCTGAACATGCTGGAATTGGTCTCCAGCAACTCCACACAAAGTTCTGTGCAAGGGCTATCACACCAATATAGAAAAGGGATTAAGCATTTGAAAGAAAGAAGAGCTTGACTGAAAAACAAGATATGAGCAAAAAAATACAAAGAAAAAGGGGTGGAGTAGAGGGGGTGAGGATAGGTAAAAATTAAAGGAAGGAAATTTTTAAAAATACCTAAACATTGTACTGAGAGATAGGGATACCTTCTGGTCAGTGATACATTCTTCAGCCATACTGTTAAAGCCACTCACGCCAATAACTCGATCTCCCTGAAGGGAAAATATCTGTAAGGTAGGTTCAGATGCACCTTTCTTTCTGATTCCTTATGACCCCCCAGGTTTGCCCTAACTATCTATTTAGAGTTAATGTTTAGTAAATAATTCAGCCTTTTTCTCAATATCCCTACCAGGATGCCAAGCCAATCTGAGCATATTTTGGACAATGATATGGGTATCAATTAGAATATAAATATAGATATGAGTTAGAATACCAGTGTTAATTTTTTTCACAAGAAGCTGAAACTTGATAATTTCCTATCCTCTGAGCCACGAAAGACCTTTTGTTGGTAACGAAAGTTTAATAAAGCAAGGCACTTCTACTGCCTTCCTTCCCCCAATTCAGAATTCGTTTCTTCCCCCCCATCTCAGTTTCCTTTTGGTGTCTTCTGACAAAGACCAGGAGACATAAGACCCTTTGGCTACAAATGAGTTGGCATGTTTCTCACAGCTACGTACACATCAATTCTCTAAATTTCATCACATTTACCTCTTTAACTGTGCTGACATCTGTGCCTGTCTCCAATACTGTCCCAGAAAACTCCATTCCTGAAACAAATTGTTTTGAGATTAGGTTAATCTGTAAAGCCCAGCACCACGGAGGTCAGAAGATCCTGATCCACAAGCTTTCTGGAACTGAGAGGTTTAAGTGCCTCCCCTCACCTACCCAGGGAGGAGGGGGAAGAGTGTTGTACCCAAATCACAGGAAAGTGAACTTAAGATTTTTCACGATAACAACCTGAAAAGCTATAGCAGCCCCATTCTTACCTGGACACAAATGAAAATTTCAAGAATGAGTGAAAGCACGGAGGTACACAAGTACTTTTACAGGCACACAAAGACTTTTGACCTAGATCACTGGGGGCTTGGGCTTCTATAGCACCCCAATTACGATGTTCATCATACTGGATGCCAGTCTCCTCTGCTGGACTGTGAAGTCCTCAAGGATATGAACCATATTTATTCATACAGTACTTGGTTCAAATGGATAAACTAGTGTTGTCTGCCCTTTCCTCTTCCACCTCCAAAATTTCTGAATTTAATGATCATACATTTCCCACTTGAGCTGCGAGAGGACTAACTCAGCTGAGTATGACATGACAGCTGCCCCCATCCAGTATTTCAGCAAGTAAAAACAGAGGGAAATGGTTCCAACTGTTGAGACACAACCAAACACCCTGAGGCCAAAACACAGCAACTATTTTGCAATTACTATATCCTTAACAGTACATTTCTGTACAGAATATACATGCACCATATACATGCTGAACTATACTTATACCTGTTAAAATAAATTTCAACAACAAAAATCAATCATGTGTCCGAATTTTCAGAATTTAAATGTAATCAGATCGGGCATAGTGAAAATCAGAGAAGACAATGTGCTACTAGAAATGTATAAACTCTTTTCCTTCTTTCTGATCCTTTGATATCGGGTTTCTTTGGGAATGTGTTTGTAAAGAATAAATGTTTTGCCCTAGCTGGTTTGGCTCAGTGGATACAGCGTCAGCCTGTGAACCAGAGGGTCCTGGGTTCGATTCAGTCAAGGGCATGTGTCTGGTTGTGGGCTCGATCCCCAGTGGGGGGCATGCAGGAGGCAGCCAATCAATGGTTCTCTCTCATCATTGATGTTTCTAATTCTCTCTCCCTCTCCCTTCCTCTCTGAAATCAATAAAAATATATTTTTCAAAAAAGAATAGAGTTTTAGCTGCAACCAATCAATGGTTCTCTCTCATCATTGATGTTTCTAATTCTCTCTCCCTCTCCCTTCCTCTCTGAAATCAATAAAAATATATTTTTTTAAAAAGAATAGAGTTTTAGCTGCAAAAAAAACAAAGAACAAAAACAAAATTGAGGCAATGTTAAGGAATAAAAGAAAATGACTAGGACCAATGATGACTGGGATCAGAATTCTGATGGACAGAATGATATGTGAGCATTCATTTGTTCATTCATTTTAAAAATATTTATTGAGCATCTACTATGAGTCAGTTATAATGCTAAACTGAGAGATATAAGGGTAAAATAGTTCTAGAAATTTCCCACAATCTAGTGCTTCTAATTAGTGGTGAGGTTGACATGTCTGAGATGTCACTGACAGTGGGTGGAGTCATAGATGAAGCGCATGGTTCTGAAAACGGTGTCTTCTCTCCCTGCAGCAGTCCCTTGGCCCCTCCACACTCACCAGGTGTGAAAGGAAGATGGGGCCTTTCCTGATACTGACCACGGCAAACCAAAATATCAGCAAAGTTAACTCCACAGAAATGGACATCAACTCTGACCTGTAAAGGAAACAGAGCAGTACATATCCGTGGAGACAGTAACTGAATTATAGCAAAATATTTACTGAATACCTACTATATGCCAGGTACTGAACTAAGTTGCTATGCACAATCAATGTGAAATCAATGTGGACAATTTCCCTGCCTTCATGGAGCAAAAAGTAGGGTAGAGAAGACAAATATTCAACCAAATAATTGTGAGTATTTATGTGTTAAATTACAACTTCCACACAAAATGTTAAAAATAGAAATATGTGATGCTATGAAGGCATATGACGGGGAGACTTAACCTTTTGGGCGAGTCAGGAGAAATCCTTAAGAAAGTAACCCTTGAACTAAGAACAGCCAAGAGTTAACTATGCAAAATAAGAGAGAATCCTGGCACTGCCAAAAGCAATGTCATGTGCAAAGGCACTGTGGTGGGGACAAAAGAAAAACCAGCAAGCCTAGAGCACAAATAGGAGAGAGATATGGGGTTAGAGAGCAGGGCCCACACCATCCAAGGGTTTATAGGCTGTCTTGATCACCCTAGTCTTCAAGGTAGGAATAATGGGAAGACATTAAAGGATTTTAAGCAGGAGAGTAACATGATCAACTGTCTTGGGAATCAGGAATCATACTGGAGGCTAGTGCTAGATCACCAGCTTATGTTTTAGGACAGCACTGAAGCTGAGGTAGGCCTGCAGCAGTGTAGCCAGCAGTTTCTTTAGACCGGGGGCGGGAAAACTTTTTTTCTGCCAAGGGCCACTTGGATATTTATAACATCGTTCGCTTAATATAATTCGCTTTAATATAAATTTATGTTGCTGGAAAAAAAAGCTCCTATATTTATTGAATTTTGAGTCCTGCCTGCAGTTGCCTAAATTGCTTACATATGCAGCACACACATGACCTCAAGCCACTCCACCTTGACTCACGGATGATTGGAGAATTAATGTCTTTCAGCACCCGAGTCCCAGGAAGCTGAGTGGCTGCCATCACGTGCTCACCCAAATAATCCAGCAGGTCCCTGTTAGTGGCACATTTCTCCCTCTCACAAGGGGTCCCCCACACTGAGGCTCACTGCCTGCTGCACCCAGTCAGAAGTGCTCATTCTCCATGCCAGCTGACATTGTGTCACCAGAGTGATCAACCTCAAGTGACTTCCACATTTCACTGGAAATGCCCACAACCCTAAACCCCACACCACTGCAGTACAGCCGAGGCGGGCACAAGGCACATATTTCAGTGGAAATACTGTACGTTGCTGGTGTAGGGGAGGAGGTAGGGCAGATAATTAGATGCTGACACCCAAGAGAAAGCAACGGATGGGGTCCATTTATCTGTGTTAAATCCATAACTTGCAGGTGGTTATGCAAAATGGTGTGCTAATCAGAATCCTCTGTTTCTAAGGCAACAGCTGTGGGGCGTTCTGAAAGCGGCCTCCACTTGTGTTTGGGGAGAACAATCTTCCTTGGACCTTTTGGGGAACCCTGAATGGGCCCACGGAGCCCACCACGAAGTTGCCCCCTGGCTCAGCGATTGGGAGCTCAGTCCAGGGTGGAACCTCCGGTGGGTGTGTGGGGGCCGCGGGGAAAGTGAAAGGGCGTCAAGAGGTCCCGGGGACAGGCCAGTCACCCTACCTCGTGAGGCCCGACAGGGCGGGGGGCGACCTCCTCAATGGCCAGGGGCTGCTTCAA